CGGCACGCATCCCCTCGCCCGACAGCAACTCCACGGATCTTTCAGCCCCTCGAACAGCAGTTTATTTTTATTGCAATGTTCTGCCCCCGCCTATTCCCCAACCACTCTTTTCCCCGCAACCCCGACCTCGGCCGCCGCTCGGGCTCGAGTTCTTTTTATCCGCGTTGCAACTCGCGCGTTCTTTCGCCTTTTCTTTCTTTCTTTCTTTCTTTCTTTCTTTCTTTCTTTCCGCGCCGCTCGCATTGCCCGTGGTCAGTAATTTCGCAAAGGGGTGGCGACGAGAATGCGCGCCTCGGCCTTCGCACGGTGGCGTCTTCTTTTTGCCGCTGCCTCTCTCCCCCGTCCTCCTACTCCATCCGCCTTCGTTCTTCTCTCGCTCTTTTTTTATCCCTCGCCGTTCTTATTCCTCGCGTACGCGCTCTGCGGTCTGCGCGATAGAGAAAAGTATTGACTGCGAACAACGCGCGGCCCGAGCGTTCTCATTGCCGCGATATATAGTATACCGGGATATTTGCGGAGTTAATGGCCCGCTCCTTATCCGCGCGACGATCGCGCGATCGAGCGGCGATACCGCGCCGATACTGCGATACACGTTAACGCGTGATCGAACAAACGCTGTAAATCGCTCTTAAATTAAAACGCGAACGCGGCCTGGCCGCGCGCGTTATTTCGATACGCAGCAATATCCGCGCCTCGTTCGCGCGATATCCCGATTAATCCCGCATCTTTTCGCACGCGAGTCTTCTCTCGTCCTTTCAGGGGAACGGACTATTAATAATTCAATTATTTAACGCGTCCAGTAGTCCGTAATTCGTGAGACATTAGCGATTTAATCCAATAAGGTATTGGACGCGACGCGAAATAATTCTCGAACGGCGAGTCCGCATCTCGGATCGACTCGCTCCGGTCGAAGTCACCGCTTAACCGGTCTTATTACTGATGTTGAATTAATAGACTTAATTGATACGTCTCGATCTTGTATACTTCTCTCTTCTCATGCGTATTTACGTTTGAATGGCGGGACGATCGAAATGCGAAAAAGATCACTGTGAAACGATCTATATACAATTTGTTTTTTACGCGATCTTTAATAACGCCCGTTCAAAACACCGTCTACTCGAGCGAATTCCGAATGCGATATTTCGATCGTCTTGTATTACTCGATATATATCTCCTGATACACTTTCTCCATAACTACTCTACTCCACCACCACACGCGCTGCGTAACTTGCTTATGGTCATTGCACTTTTCTCTCTCTCTCTCTCCTCTCTCTCTCTCTCTCTCTCTCTCTCTCTCTCTCTCTCTCTCTCTCTCTCTCTCTCTCTCTCTCTCTCTCTCTCTCTCTCTACTCTACTACTCTCAATATTCCATTTTATTTCTTTCTTAATAATTACGCGGATAGGCGAATTTTCCAAATTTTTTATCCATCTCGTTAAGTCGACCTTCATCCAGCAGAACGGAGATCTCGCCGATGCGGATAATCCGATTGAAAGTTCCTCCTCGGGAACAACTTTCGGGACTTTTGCAATCCCTCTCGTGTCCATCTCTCGAAAGAAAAGGAAAAAAAAAATCAGCCGGAGAAAGAGACACGACCGTGTCGCGCGCGCGCATCCTCTTCTTCCGGCCCCATTGAGAATTCTCACGGACACGCACACGCGCGAGCGTCTTATCGCGACGTCACTGATAAAGCAGCCATGATGGATAGGCGAAGAGTCTCCACCGCAGACTCCGCCCTGTTTTTTTCTCTCTCTTTCTCTAGGCGGTCACGCTTTTAGCACGCACTTTTCTACGCCGTTAACCTTCGCGACTCCACGCCCAAAATAAATCGCCGAAGGCAGGGAAGAGAGAATGGCGAACGCGCGCTGCGAAAGAAATTCATTGAAAACCGGAGCTTCCAATTCGATCGATCGAAGCTCAAATGTATATGTATTGTTGCCTAAATATGATACGGTCGGATATTATAATACAATATTATTATAGGTATGGAAGAACTAATAGAATTTAATAATCAGTTGAATTAATTAAATTCTTTAACGTTCAAGTCAAGAGGAAATTCGTGGCTATTTGTATTTGAATATAAAATATGTAATTTATAATAATGCAAAAGTGAATATTATACTTATAACTATAATGGATAGATCTTTTAACGAGATTACGATTCATAAAGACGGATGGGGAACCGTTATGGAAACTACTACTGTTAACGAATTACGAACGAAGATTCACGTGCTTTTGCGAAATCGATCAAAAGCGCGCTTCCTCGTGCATTTTTATCCCGATATCGACCAGTTCGTTATCTCCGCACATTTCATTAGATGTATGCATCATGTACGAGCAGCGGAATGATTGGTAAGGTGCCAGGAATTGAATGGCTCACTTCACCGTAGAGCTTATCCGATAGCCCGAAAGGCCGGTGGCATGTAGTCCTTAAATTAGTCCAAAATTATTCGGCGCAATTCGCAATTAATTAAAGCTTAATATCGGACTTTCCACTCGGAAATTAACCGTAATCGGATAATCAATATCTGTATTAATATATATTATACTGTATAATGGAATATCATAACGTATGTAAGAGCAGAGGAGAGAGAGAGAGAGAGAGAGAGAGAGAGAGAAGAGAGAGAGAACGGGAGGATAAGAGGGACGGACGGGTTAACGGAGAAGGATCATCATCGCGCATGATGACTCGAAGAAAAATGTACATGCGACGAGTGGAAAAATCCGCGTCGGGTCGAGGATGACACCTCGATCAGCGCGCACACTTCCTGAATCGGCCGGATCGTCTCCCCCTCGCTTCCCCCCCCCTCCGCCATTCGCTGGCCACGAACGCATACGCGCCTTTCTCTCTCGTTCTCCTCTCTCTGGACGCGCGCCCGCGAGCGAGCAGAGGGTGGAGGAAGAGAAGTAACAGCGGCGATGGAATAGAAGCGGGTGAGAGAGGCAGGAGGCGAAGAGAAGGACGTGTATGACGAGAAGTCGCGGCGGCGGCGGCGGCAAGTCAGGGAGCAGAGCAGGGGGGCCAGCTAGCGAAGGGGGTTGCGTGAAAGAGGAGAGATAGCTCGCGTGGCGTAAAGCGGCGCACGGGCGCGATTGGCTCTTTCCGCCGTGTCGCTCGTACCGATTGGCGAGTCTGCCTTTCCCTCCCGGGATATATCGTGTTATTTCAATCGATATCTCTTCGAGTAGCCAACGACGGATTTTTCGTTCACCGCGGCCGCCTTATCAGCGCGCCTTTCCACCGCGCGCGCTGACGGCGCTTTTTTTCTCCACCGTCCCCCGTTTAGCGCACGCACGCACGGACGGCGGATGGAGCGGCGGACTAAGAAATCGCCGTGTCCCCCCCTTTGGGCCGGTTTAGTTTGCGAGAGACGCCGCACGCTCGCGTACAGCGCTACGTCCGCGCTTCTGTGCATCCGGTCCAACCCGCGCGCGGGCTTACCCCCGGTGCATATAAAAAAACTCCACCCGAGCGGAAAAAGTGATAGTTTCTTGGCGGACGTTGTGGTTTACCTCGTGGGACTCTTTCGGAGATTTTGTCGTCGCGCGCGGGCCCCGTACCCCAGACGCGCGGACCGTCCAGCCGCCACCGTCGGACGATCGCGCGCGCGCGCGCGCGCGCGCACCCACGGTACCCGATCGCAACGAGCGCGGTGAACGAAAGTAGTACGATAGCGCGTTCCGACTCGAGATGCCGTGAGATCGATCGAAATCTGGTGGAACTCGTCGATCTCCCCGTAAAAATTTAAAGAAATTCGGTCCACCGTGGATCAACCGTGCACGCGCGTGAAATTCAATAAATTGCTAGAGCCAGCGACGACAGCTTTTTTCGTTAAATTAAAGTAAAGACAGAAAGAGATTCGGATGAAAGTGCTGAGAGAATTAATCGAGAAATGCTCTTTTCCGATCGCTCGCCGAAACAACCGATGATATAGCTTTCGGCGCCAAGGACTTTGTTCGCGAGTGCAAGGCCGTGGCACGTGCTTACGCAACGATCAGCGGTACCGTTGCGCAAAGGATGACGATCGAGCGAGCATCGGGTCGATCGGGGTAAGGTCCGTTCGCCAACGAGCTGCCATTGTCCCTCATCAAAGGGAACGCATCGCAACGAGAGTTAATGAGGAGGTCCGATGATCGTCGGTCTGATCGCTTGCGCAACATTCATGGAGCGTGCGAGCATTAATTGGCTGATCGGGAAAGTAATCGCGGCGAGCGACAAACGATATCTTTTCACACGCGCTGTTATAAAACAAAGAGAGAGAGAGAGAGAGAGAGAGAGAGAGAAAAAGAAAGAGAGATCATGGGGTTCCGCAAACGCATGAGAAGGCAGTCGCTATCGTTTCTTCACGCGGCGATTTCCCCATTCTCGATTACGTAAGGCCCCGTCGAGATCGGAAAGACCTCGCCCGGTTAATACGTAAAACGTGCACAATGAAGAGCCGCTGTTTGGGAAAAAGATCGGCGGGTGAGATTGATCGAAACAATGGCGATCGAAGAGTCAGACCTCACGCACCGCACTCGCGGCGAACGAATATTACGCGAGAAGTAATGGTCAACAATCTGTGTGTTCAGCTAGTCAGGGACGAAACGCCGTCGTAGATCCTACGGTCGTCGGCTCGACCGAGATCCATTCTAGTCGTCTACCACCCTCAATGTGAAAAGCCATCATCCTCTGTGAACTTTATGACAATAGCGATGAACTACTATATACTACTATATACGTTTCCTTAATCCACAACGACGCGCGAACTTCGAAGACACTGGTGTTACCAGTGACAACGATATCCTCACGTTCACGTTCGAATAAAGAGACGCGGGAAGAAACCGGGACCCGACTTTAAATTCTTCGTGTCGGAGTGATCGGGGAAGGGCGCGCGAGCGCTCGCAATCATGCCGGCAGTGCCGGGCCCTTTCGTGTCATCGCGCGTCGATCGGGGCGGGTGGGACTCTTCAGGTTGCGTGTTCGAGATTCTTCCGTGAAGATGTATGGCACCAATGAAAGCCACGGGCCGAACCACGGGCCTTGGACACCGCCTCCCGCGCCCCAACCGCTCCCGCCGCAAGCCCAGCATCAAAACCATCCCCGACCTCACCCTCACAACCATCCGCCGAGCCACCCGCCCTACGTACCGCCGGCGTATCAGCATCCTCATCACCACTTGCCGCCCCAGGTAATTATTGATGGATATATTCCACGGCTAGTTTGAGGCCGAGGATCGAAAATTCACGCCAGGAGAGCGCCGACCACGTGGCGTCCAAAAAGAAAGCTTATCCCTGAGGGTGCATTTGCCACGCATGTTAAATAGCTACCATCACGAATTCTAATGAATCTAATGAATATATTAACCTGAGAAATATCTAAAAGCTAAAAAGTACTTTTAAATCTCCGACGTCTTTTATATATTACGTGCTAATAATAATTAATAATAGAATAACATAATGCTACCAGAAATAATAATATTAAAAAATAATATTGAGATGAAACGCAGAAATTGCAAACGGATCAATTTGAGAGAAATCAGCGTTTTATCGACGAATTATCTCAGTTCAAGGGAAAGACTAAACACGATAAGTAGTTTACAGACCTGGATAGGGTATAACTATCCCTAGATATACTTTACTCGTTTGCTCAATCGGACGATTAATCACGTGGTGGAGACTGCTGCCTGATGACCGCTTATTAAATTATCTACGATGATTCGAATTATGGTTATATCCATGATAGTGTCTTTACCCACCATTAAACGGAGGGTGTTCTCCGGGCAATCGTCGTGCGATCGAAACGTAAAACCCGTTTCGTACCTAACAACTGCGCTGCAATCTTCGATCGTTCGAAACCGTCGTCTTTAAGGTGTCACGCGAAAATCACTTCCACACAGGTGAGCGCTCGGATGTTTCCGAAAATATCGATGTGACAGGAGCGGCCGAAAACGCCCGTGTTAATAATTAACACTTTCGAGAAGCCGCGCTAAAAATGACCGTTGCATATTTGATCGCTCCCCGTGAAAGTTCCGACGCGGTCCGCGTCGGAAAACTTTCGGGAATTGAAATTGTTTTTTCGCAGTCGCGAGAAGACGCGTCTCCTCGTGGATCCTTCCGTGTTCCGTCGCGCGGCCGCGATCTGTCCCCGATTAGTTTCCCCGATGGAAAACGACGACCCTGTATCCATTATATCGTCGAGTCATACGAACCGAGTCGAATATAGCGTTACCAACGACGTCGAGACGTGACCGCAAGGCCGGCCGATCATTGATAGACTTTCGCTCGATCGCCGATATTCGCTCGGCGATTCTGCACTCTTGACATTGGGCTCGCGCGGCTGGCTATCCATCGACGCACATTAATACGATCGATAGTCCGCTATCGCGCGATCTCGTGGTGTGCCCGTTTCTTTTCTCTTTCTTTTCCTCTCCTCTTTTTTTTTTTTTGTACTCTACCCCACACAAGCCGCAGGATAACGACTACCTTTCGGCATCCTTAATTTCGATGTGCCGCGTCGTGTTATTTGATCCTATCCGCCGACGAAACAGGAAGCCCGATTTTGCCTACCGTAGCAGAAGGAAACAAAAAGAGAGAAATATGCCTTTAGCGGTATCAAAATTTTGTTTTTTTTTTTCCTCAGACATTTAACCGATCATTTATACCGGAGATTCTTTTTCTTTTTTCTTCTTCTTATAAAATAATATATCACTTATACGTGCGTGACTTTAAGAACTTTTAATTGCGATAATTTTTCGTTGTAACGCCATCGGATAATTAATTTAAAATTAATCAGATAATGGACGACAATATTTGATTCTTCGTCTACATAATTAAATAATTCATATGGATAAAGAACTGCTCTTAACTGGATATAATAAGTAGACGAGAGAATCGGAATCTCTGCATTCGACTCTAAAATTAGGCAGATGTAAGAAATAGGGAGGAGAGAGAGAGAGAGAGAGAGAGAAGATAGTGAGACAGGACCGCAGAAATCCGTTCCGCGGAAATCAAATCGCCAGATACTTCTTTTTAAGCAGCTGATTGTTTGCGCCGACCGGAAACGGACAACATACCTCGCGGAGGATCAACGTGCAACGATTCAGGCGGATTAAAGCTGACAATTACAGGGAGCCGGGGAGGGGGAGGGAAAGGCGAAGGGATGGGCTCTCTCCT